AGGGAAAGAAGAAATTCAAGCCTCACTGCGTCTTTTGTGATGAAGTTTTGTAAGCTGCTGGTGGGAAACAAGGGAATACTTTGTGAACTGAGTTTGTTGGGACTTCGCTGAGCCTCTGCAGGACAAACACCCAGGAGCGAAGATGTGTCGAAGGCAGCTCGCAGCCCCGCAGGGGGCACGGGCCGTGCGACTGGAGTAAACCAACACCCAACAGATTCAACACTCAGCTTCCCAGCAGCCAGTTACTGCGGGAACGGCGAGCCCCCTCATGGATCACGCGTGATCCCTGCCACGCTGACCTCCTGCACCCAATTCTCCCATGAAAATTGTTTCCATCCCTTTCCTAAGAGGCTGTTACTGCTTTTCCCATCAGCCCTTTGCAGAAGCTGTCTGTGGTAGCTATACACCGGTGTGGCTGACTTGGTCCCATAAACTCCGCCCTAGGTTTGGGCTGAACAGAATCCAAAGCTCTAATGGGAGGGAGGGAAAGGGGAATGTACCCAAAACTCCCAGAAGAGGTGCCTGGCATTTCACTGTTAGCTCTTAGGAGTAGTTATAGCAGTCCTTCCCCACCTCAGCATCATTATTAAATTCCCACAGGATAACAGTAAAAACCCCACAGGAAACTACTTTTCTGCCACAGTGATTCTGCTGGAACTCGTACAAAGTCGCGGTCTAAGTCTTTGAAAATGAGACGTACCGAGAGCAGGCCTGGTTTGGACATTTCAAGGGTGGCCAATTAGGGCAGTAAGCCTCTGGCATTTCCACAGAAAATCTGCATTTTGGAAGCACTCCGGGACACTGTCCCTAACCCATGCTTCCATAAGTGACCCTACCCTCACACAAGCCCTCTCCGTTTGTAATACGCACTTCAAGCACAGCCCCGCCACCCAGGCAAGCTCACGGGGTCTCTTCTGATTTAGGACTGCGCACATCTCCCTGGTCTGCCAGCATAAATGGCGACATTTAGTAACGTAAGTTATGTTAATGAGTCCTGCCTAAATCACTGCTGTTAGAAGAAGAATGGGGGAGACTCTCATAACCATTAAAACTGAATGAGGAGGGAAATAAATAAGCAAAAGCAGCTCATTTGAGCAATAAAAGACTAGAACACAAGCTGTGTACCAAGGTACAAAAGGATGAGGTCATTATTAGCTCTATAAGTCACTTATAAAAGACTCAGAGGAGGTGAAATCACCCAGGCTTAAACCACAGTGTTGGGGTGAGATTCGTTACTGTGATAACTGAATCCAGCCTGAGATTCCGCAAGGCAGAGATTAATGACTGTAATGAAGAAGCAGCACAGGGGGCAGATCAGCCCTAAGCCCACTGTACGTCTAGAGAAGGGACCTGTCCTCATCTGGGATTCTGTGAGGCCCCTGAGGGTAAGAAATGACTGTCCCTAGCTCCAGTGGCAGCAGCAGATCTGTCAACCACCCTTGCTGCTGCTGGAATTAGGAACAACCACTGAACAGCTGCTGTTGAGGAACAATTAAAGTGCCTCCTGTGTTGCAAAGAAGGGATGGATTATTATTGTTTTCCAGAAACAGTAACAGCAAATGGGTATCACACCAAGTTTAGGGATGCTCTTCTGTTCCTCAGCAATTCACATGTTCAACAGGGTTAACATCCCAAGCCAGGCCTCGTGTTCCAGGCCAGGCTGCTTTCCAGCTGCTGAAAGCAGAATGGCTTGGCTTGAGCCCCAGCGATTGGATTCCAGGCAGATTTTAAATCTAGCATCACCTTGAAAGCTGTCCCCACCTGGGAGGGAGTTACACTACATAAGGCCTTCTTAATTTTAAATATTTTGAATTTTGACCACGAATATTGAAATATCTGCCAAAATCCCTTTCGGAGTTGGCAAATGACAAGCTGTGCTCACAAGGCTTCGCACCTCGCCATCCCTCTGTATCTGGTTCTCCGCGCTGTGCGGTAAGAGGGCTTCCAAAACACCTACATAT